TGGAATTCAAAAAAAAAACTGAGTCATTCGCAACCATTGTTGATTGTTATAAAAACACAACTGGTTCACTAATGCCGTTTAGTGAAGAAAATTTGTCGTCCTTACCCAGTTGGGCCAATAGGTGTCTCCTGACCTACAGCAATGTGGTTGACTCAACTGTGCTCTGGGTAGTTAGGAATGGGCAATAAATGCTGGCCTATTTATCGGCCAGCAATGGCCACATCCCACAAATGAATTTAATAAAAAGGACCAGAAGTGAGGATGTTTACTGATGATTGCACAATGTTCAGCACCATGTGTGACTCTCAGAAACTGAAGCAGCCCATGTCCAAATGCTGCAAAACTTAGACAATATCAAGCTGAAGCTGATAGGTGTGAGCAACATTCGTGCCACACAACTACCAGGCAATGATCATCTTCAACACAGAAAATCAAATCGTAGCCCTTGACATTCAATGGCATTATCATAAGACCATAAGATGTAGGAGCAGAACTAGGCTGTGCCATTTGATCATGGCTGAGATGTTTCTCAACCCATTCTCCTACCTTCTCCTCGTAACCTTTGATCCCATTACCGATCAAGAACCTATATCTATCTCTGTCTAAACTACACTCAATGACTTGGCCTCCACAGCATCCTGCAGCAATCAATTCCACATACTAACCAGCCTCTGGCTAAAGAAATAACTCCTCAGTTTCAAAGGGTTGTCTCTTCACTCTGATGCTGTGCCCTTGGGTCCTAACCTCTCCTACTAGTGGAAATATCTTCTCCACATCCATTCTGTCTAGGCCTCTCAGTATTCTAAGTTTCAATGAGAGGCGTTCCCTGCCAATTCCCTCTAAATTCCATCTAGTATAGATCCAAGTCCTCAACTGCTCCTCATATGAGAAGTCCTTGATTCCTGGGATCATTCTTGTAAACATCCCCTGCACTCCTTCCAATACCAGGACATCCCTCCTTGATTCAGGGCCCAAAACTTTTCACAATATTCCAAATGCAGTATGACCAGAGCCTTATACAACCTCAGTAGTACAACTATGCTCTTGTATTCTTGCCCTCTTGAAATGAATGTGAATATTGCATTTGCCTTCCTAACTGCCAACTGACCCTGAATGTTACCCTTAAGAGCACCCTGAACTAGGACTCCCAGTTCACTTTGTGCTTCAGTTTTCCAAAAGCCTTTCCCCATTTAGAAAATAGTCTATGCCTCTATTAGTCCTAACAATGTTCATAACCTCACACTTCCCCACATTGTATTCCATCTGCCATTTCTTTGCCCACTCTCCCAGCCTGTCCAAGTCCTTCAGCAGCCTCCCAGCTTCCTCAACACTATCTGTCACTCCACAAATCTTTGTGTCATCAGGAAACTTAGCAACAATGCCTTCAGTTCCTTCATCCAGATTGTTAATGTATAATGTGTTGTGTGGTCCCAACACTGATCCCTATGGAACTCTCCTAGTCATCAGCTGCCATCTGAAAAAGACCCCACTCTCCGCCTTCTGCCAGGCAGCCATTCCGCTATCCATGCTGATATCTTGACCCTAACGCCATGGGCTTTTCTCTTATTTAGCAGCATCCTGTGCGGCACCTTGTCAAAGGCCTTCTAGAAATCTGAATAGATCACATTTACTAGCTGTCCATTTTCTAACTTGCTCATTACCTCCTCAAAGAATTCTAACAGGTTTGTCAGACATGACCTTCCCTTGACAAAGCTGTGCTGACTCAGCCCTATTTTACCACATGCTTCCAAGTACTTTGTAATCTCATCCATAATAATGGACTCTCAAATCTTACAATGGCGAATGTCAGGCGATCCTGTCTTCTGTCTCCCTCCCTTCTTAAAAGAGGCACTAAATTAGCCATTTATCAGTCCTCTGGGACCCCCCCCCCATGACTCCAGTGATCCATGAAAGGTCACCACCAATGCCTCTATAGTCTCTTCAGCTATCTCCTTCAGAACTCTAGGGTGTAGTCCATCCAGGCCAGATGACTTATTCATCTTCAGTCCTATTGAGTTTGCCCAGCACCTTCTCCCTAGTGATGGCCACTACACACAGCTCTGTCCCTGACTCTCAAAGTTTTGTATGCTGCTGGTGTCTTCCACTGTGAAAACTGATGTAAAGTAACTGTTTGGTTCCTCCACCATTTTTTGTTCCCCATTACTACTTCTCCAGCCTCATTTCTAACAGTCTAATATCCACTCTTGCCTCTTTCTTACCTTTTATAATCTTCTTTTATATTACTAGCTAACTTACCATCATATTTCATCTTCTCCCCACTTACTGCTTTTTTTTTTAAGTGATCCTCTCGCTTCCCACTAATCTTCCACATGTCTGCCTCTTTTGCTTTTATGATATCCCTGACTTCCCTTGTCAGCCATGGTTGCCTCATCCTCCCCTTGGTATGTTTTTCCTTCCTTGGGATGAATTTCTGCTGTGCCTCCTGAACTAGTCCCAGATCTTCTCCAGTTTCATTATTGAAACCTCCATTATCAACATCCTAGGGTGATCAGAAATTGAACTGGACTAGCCATGTTAGTATTACAGCTACAAAAGCAGGTTGGAGGCTAGGAATCGTGCAGCAAGTAACTCACCTCGTCATTTTCTGAACCCTGTCCACCAAATACAACACACAAATCAGGAGAGTGCTGGAAAACTCTCCACTTGCCTGGATCAGAGCAGCTCCAACAACATTCAAGAAGCTTGACACCATTCAGAGCAAAGTAGCCTGCTTGATAGGCACCATATCCACAAATATTTGCCCCCTCCGTCGTCAGTGCTCAGTGGAAGCAAAAGTATTCAACTCCTCTGCCTTTTCCTAATTGTTCATTATTATTTCCCGCTCCGTCTTCTCTAAGGATTCTACGTTCACTTTGGCTTCTCTCTTTCTTTTTATATACTTAATTGAAGTTCTTGCTGTCCATCTTGATACTACTTGTAAGTTTACGCTCAAAGTTTATTTTCTACTCTGTCGAGTCCTCTAAGAATTGTGTATGTTTCAATAAGGTCGCCTCTCATTCTTCTATATTGCAATGAAAAGAGGCCCAATCTACTCAACCTCTCCTCATAAAAACAGTCCTTACATAGTGACAACTGCCACCAAGACCCATAGACAGGGAGTAAGATCCTGAAGTGAAGCCAGTAATGGTCAGCCACTTGGCCAGCCCAGAGATCCAAACTCCAAGGTACACAAAATGTCCAATATGAAGTTCACCAGGATTGGGGGTTGGCTAGCAACAGACTGCATGGTGCACCTAGGTACTGAACTGCGGAGCAGGAAAGCCTGCACAAAAGCTGAAGAAAGAGTAGGAGAAGGCAGTGTGTTTGGTTAATAAGTGAATAAAGTATGACAGAAATGAAAGAACTTACAGAGACAGGGAAGAACGAAGCATTCAAAACAGAAAGCAACAGTGAACATCAAAGCAACAGGACTCAGTCCAAGCTAGAAAACAACTCATCTGGCATAAACACAACTGGGCAGTTTTACAAAGAGTCACAATTACCAAGAGAGAGATTGCTGCAAAAGCAGCACAGAAAATTGAACACAGATCACAGAGTCTGTACAGTAAGGATAAACTCTTCCTTGGTTTCATTTGATTTTGTTTATTGCTGTCATGTGTACCTAGGTACAATGGAAGTATTCTCTAACATGCTTTATGGGCTGATTGTACTGTACAAATGCAGTAGGGTAATAGAACAGAGTGCAGGAAACAATGTTACAGCTGCTGAAAAGGTGCAGAGAGAGATCAACATTAACATTAAAGAGGTCCATTCAAAAAGTCTGATAACAGTGGGGAAGAAGCTGTTCGTGAATCTGTTGATAAGTGTATACAAACTTTTATATCTTCTGCCTGACAGAAGAAGGTGGAAGTGATTATAACCAGGGTGAGAGGGGTCTTTGGTAATGCTGGTTGGTTTCTCGATGCAGCAAGAAGTATAGAAGAAGTCAATAGATGGGAGGCTGGTTTACGTGATAGACTGGGGTGCATTCACAACTTTCTGTAGTTTCTTTCAGTCTTGGGAAGAGCAGATGCCATACCACACTGTGATGCATCCAGATGCTTTCTATGGTGCATCAATAAAAATTTCTAAGTCTCTTTGCGGACATCCTGAATTTCCTTAGCCTCTTGAGAAGATAGAGGCATTGCTGTGCTTTCTTGACTGTAGTGTCAACATGGGTGGACTAGGTCAGATCCTGGGAGATGTGACAAACCACAAGAAGAATTTGACTTTCTCGCCAGTACAGACATGCAGGTTGAATTTTGGCATGCAGAAATTAAAGTAAATGGCAAAGAATCTTGTTGTAATCATTATACCAGAGAGGAGTATTAATCCATTAGGATGCTATATCACAGTTGAGGCCAGGAATCCTCAGATTGCCTTCCAATAAACTTTGGGATTTAGGAATTATAAAAATTAGAGTAACACTCAGATGAATGTTACACTTTGCCATAATGGAAAACAAACTTTGCCAATGCATTCTATGTAATCCTTAATCATCATGCTTCTTTAGCTTTAGGCATTCTTTGACACTGACATTATTACAAAATGGTAAGATAGATCCGCCAGTAGTCCCCATTCTGCTTCTCCTCGCATCCTTCTACGCTTTCTATCCTTCCCCCTCCTTTCGTTTCTCCTTCCTTACACAATGCTCTCCCGCCTCCTCATCACCTTTCTCTGACCCTTGCCCTCATTCCCACTATCTTCTCCACCAAGCTACTCCCGCCTCACTGCACCCTTCCTACCCTCTCCTCCTTCTCTCCCTCCCTCCTCCCGCCCCCTGTTCTCCCACAATGCCCGGATGTCACTCTCTCACCAACATGGCGGCTCTCGGTGCTGCCGAAGTCATTGCTCAGCTGGAAAGCGCCGCCAAAGTTTTAATGGTAAGGGCCTCGTTTCCTACTCTGTTCTCTCAGTCCATACACAGGCAAAGGCTTCAGCTCGCAGTTTGGGGTTTTTATTGTTAGTCGTGCGTGACTGGAGCTGACAGGAGGGGGAGTAAGAGTCCGTGCGTGGCGCAGTCCCTAAAGCCGGGGCTTGGAGTAAAAGTGCAGCCCGGGAACGGCTCGACTCTGCTCGTTAGCCCGGGACAAACTGTGGACAACTCTACTCGTTACTCTGAATCACGCACGCTTCCACGCCTGAGACTGTTATTAGTGTTTTTTTTAAACGTATATTACTTGAAGGGAATGATTGGATCCATCGCTGCCAGATTGCTTGCTCCCAACATCATCAGTACCGTATTTTATTGAAAACATTTTATTTTAAATTTTAGAAAATCGGCTGCAACCCATTGCAGACAATAAATCCAGTTATACAAATCCCAATTATGCTTAAATGGAACCTTTTTAGTGATATATTGCATTGAGCTTTAAAATGGCGTTTTATCACAGGTTAGTGTTGTAGTGGTTCTTGGCGAGCCCTGCGCAGGTACACCAAAAGGTTGGAGACGGTAAACATTCATTGGCATCATCTTTAACGTTCAGTATAAATTCGTGTAACTACTGGCTGAGGAGTTGAGAAATGGGTGCTATATTTCGTACCTCCAAAATAATTTGGATGATAATATTTGACTGCCATGTGAGCTAGAATTTTCAACACTACTATTTGACTGTTTCAGTGTTTGAATTGGTAAACGAGAATAAGAGACTAAGGAGCACATGGAACTGATATGGCATACCTTACCTGGTCATTACAGCTAACGCCCAACACTACTGAATTACTCAAAAGGAAATGCATCCCAATTATTTTACCATATCTTGTTAGACTAGGTTGAACTTCAGAACTATTCCAATACTTGCCAATATTGTAATATTTTAGATTTTTATTTGTCAACATTTAATCTCTCAACCAAAACTGATTATCTGGTCATTGTTGAACCTAAGCTGTGTTGTTTTCCTCGACTAGAACAGTGACTTTGGTTCAGTGTCTGTAAAACGTCTGAGCCTGTAATTGTGAATGGAAACGCATAAATGCAAATTCTCTCTTTTGCCTGGTCATTCAAATGTGAACTGAATGTTGATAGTATATTTTTCTCTTTTGACTTTCAATAATTTTACAGCATGGATCTGAATCTGTATATATATTGTCGATATGTTCGAGTTGACATCCCCAGGATGTACCAAACATAAAAGTCAGTCCAGAAGTTTTCTACAGGCATATAAAAGGCATAGAATTATTGAAAGTATAGCAAGAGGGCAGGTGAGGCCACTGAGGAGCCAAGAAAGGGAGAGATAGTAGGAACTGCAGATGCTGGAGAAAGGGATCTATGGATGGAATCAGATGGCATGACTGAAGTCCTAACTGACTGCTTTGCGTACCCTTTAGCAAGTAAGATGTTGCACAAGTCTGAGAGAAAGAAGAGGCAGTTGTGGTAATTAATGGTCTTAAGATTGAGGACCTCCACGCTTAACTATTGTCACATAACACTACCATGTATCTTATAGTTCTGTCTTTCAGTGGTTCCTTATCTTCTGGCTGCTCTAGGAGTTGCATACTCCTTCTAGTCATGAGTTCAAACAGTGGTCTAGTTATCTGGTTTGGGGTTGCGCTTAGTCACATTAGTGTTAAAGGGTAAACATACATCCATCCTCCTCCTCAAATCTCCTGTCACATGTGGCAATGTATTTGTGCCCAATCCTGAAAATGTACCGACAATCCAGATAAAGGTTGGCTAATTTACCATCACACCTCTTTTAATGTCTTCAGGATGCTACCAGCTCGGCTACCTGAGCAAAGCATCTACTTTCCAGAGCTCCTTGTTTCACTATTTGCCGAATCCCTTTTATTGCACCCTAACCATTCTTGGATTCCCTAGCTTTGTAGCGCCCAGGCTTTTTTTTCAAACCATACCTACACTTGCTGTAACAAGTGAATGACCTTAACTCCACAGCCTTCCTTATCTACAACTTCATCACATCTTCCTCACCTTCATTTGCAGTGATGGGCCTCTTTTACACCGCTTCCAAAGGCTGATGCGACCTGTTTATCTTTCCACATGGCCACCTTGATCATCTCCAGGACTTGTTCATTGGTTAAGCTCATTTGTTCCCCTTCTCCAGGACCCGATGGGGGTTAATCCTGCTTTTCCTCCCCCCTTACTCCAACAATCCTTCAGTTTATGACCCTGCTTCCCACAATTGCTACATTTCCTTGTCATTTTGTCTGTAGTCGCTCTCACGATGCTTAGACTCACCAGAAGTGAAACATTGGCTGGACACAATGGTCTCATTTGCTACTGCTAAATTTTGTTCCAGAAAATAGTTGTACCAGTACTTTGGTCTGTGGGGAATGCTTCACTTATTCAACGTCTATCTCACTTGCCAATTGTAAGATAATTCTGTAATCATTACCCATTGAGATTTCTCGATCTAGGATTATTTTTGTGGTTTTGATTGAGCTCAGTGTAGATGAGGGCGGTACTTTTGATGTAGTCTACTTGGACTTCAGCAAGGCTTTTGATAAGATCCTGCATTGGAGACTGATAGTAAAAATAAGAGCCCATGGGATCCAAAGACGTTTGGCAAATTGGAAGCACAGTTGGCTGGGAGAGATAGTAGGAACTGCAGATGCTGGAGAATCCAAGACAACAAGGTGCAGGGCTGGATGAACACAGCAGGCCAAGCAGCATCATAGGAGCAGAAAGGCTGACGTTTCGGGCCTAGACCCTTCATCAGTTGGCTGAGTGGCTGGAAGTGGAAGGTGATGGTCGAGGGGTATTTTTCCACAACCGTCCCACAGGGGCCAGTGTTGGGGCCTTGCTGTTTGTGGTTTATACAGATGTTTTGATTTGAATTCTAGGGGGCTTCATCACAAAGTTTTCAGATGAAACAAAAATTGGTGGGGTGCTAAATAATGAGGAGGAAGGCCTTAGATTGCAGGAGGATATAGATGGGCTGGTCTGATGGGCTGATCAGTAACAAATGGAATTTAAACCAGACAGGTGTGATGCACTTGGACAGGACAATCAAGGCAAGGGAATACATGATGAATAATAGGACCCAGGGAAGCACCAAGGATCAGAGGAATCTTGGTGTGCATGTTCATTGGTTCCTTAAGTTATCAAGATAGATCAATAAAATGTTTAAGAAGACATATGGTATACTTGCCTTTGTTAGCTAAGGAACAGAGTTTAAAAGCAAGGTGGCTATGCTGGAACTGTGAAATGTTGGTTAGGTTGTAGCTGAGAGTATTGTGTGCAGTTCTGGAATCTACATTTTGGAGGGATATGATAGCACTAGAGAGGGTGAAGAGGACGTTTACCAGGATGATGCCTGGGGTGGAGAGTTTATGAAAAGATATTGGACAGACTGTGGTTGCTCTCCTTACAGCAGAGAAGATTGAGATGGACATGATTAAGATGTATAGAATTGAGTGGCATAGATAGGGTAGACAGGAGTAAACGTTTCCCCTTGATGGAGGGTTCAATGACCAGGGCACATTTAAAGGAAGGGGTAGAAGGTTTAGCAAGATGTGGGGAAAATCTTTTTCGCCCAGAGGTGGTGGGAAATTTAAGAAATAGTTAGGTGTGCATTTGTGATGCCAAGGCGTACAAGGCTATGGGCCAAGTGATGGATAACAGGTTTAGAACAGTTAGGTGGTGGTTTTTGACTGGCATGAATGTGATGGGCTGAAGGGCTTTTTCTTTCTGAGCTCCTTTGACATTTTCACTATATTGGATCATTCCAATTGGAATTCTGTGTGCTGGAGAATTATACTGGTGTGGAGCTCCCCCAGGCAAGGTCATAGATTGTACCTGTCCCAGTGCCCATATTTATGGACATTTCTCCTAATTTTGGCCTTCATTTGTGTACACCCAATCCTCAGCTGCAGGGAATCATGAGATGGATCTCTGTGGATAACACTAGAATGGGAATTGTCTGTCTGTCCCATTGGGTTTGAAATTACTGCATGATTCATCAGACCTGTCAGTGGGGGGAAGAAAAGATTGTATCTAGGACTGACCTTGTAGTTCTGCATATAATGAGGATCAAGTGTGCTTCACTCAAATCTAAATCATTGAGAGGGAACAATCACCTTGTGGAGTTTCCAGTCACGTTTTGGTGAAGGTGGTTGAATCTAATTCAGAGTACTACTTGTATGAAGTTTCTTTAACAATTTTTTTCCCTTCTCCTGATTTAGTCTAAAATTGATCAGATGTCCCTGATGAAATCATGGAGCTGCCATGACTAATGTCTGACCAATTGAAAATCGCTACCTTCCCCCACACACACTCATATTCTCCCATTGTCAATTAAAACACTATGTGCAAGCGCTGTCTCCTTTTTTAATAGTGAATTTGATTCCTGGCATTTCTGTGATATTAACCCACCCTTTACACTTGCCATGCTGCCAAACTCTCCATATATATCATATGAATAAGTTACGAGGTTAAGTGCAACTCAGATTGGACTTCTCAACCATCTTCTCTGTGAAACCCCTTTCCCACTCCACTCCAGCCAACTCTGCACTCATTCAGCAATTTCTGTGTTTGTACACTGAGTTCTTCCTTGTTGCTACCTCTGGTAATTTTATTTTTCCTATCTACACGAAGATTAAAGCCATCCACAATTTAAAATACTGCCTTTTCTTACATGTAGTTACCCTTATTTAAGTTGGGCGTAGTTGTGTCCATCCAAGTTTATTACTCAAACTGAATACTAAACTACCATGTTATGGTCATTATTCCCAAGGGGATATTTTATAACGAGATCATTTATTTATCATGCCTCGTTATACATTACCAGATCCAAATAGCCAGATGTCTGGTTGGATCCCCATACTGTTGTAAAAAAATTACCTTGTACACTCTGTCTGTCCTGAAGAAGGTTCACTGAACCTGAAATGATAACTCTGCTTTCTCTCCACAGATGCTACTAGACCTGCTAATCTTTTTCAGCAATTTCTGTTTGTATACTGAGTTCTTCCTTGTTGCTACCTCCTGGTAATTTTATTTTCCCAATCTACACGAAGATTAAAATCACCCATAATTTAAAATACTGCCTCTTCTTACATGCCTTCATTATCATTTATTCTCCGTCCCACAGAACAGCGACTGTTAAGGTGCCTATAGACTGCTCCCACCAGCATTGCAAACTCTTTGTTGTTTCCTACCTCTTCCACGTAAATTATACATTGTTCAATCCAATATCACTTCTTGCTAAAGTACTAATTTCATCTTGTACTGACAAAGAAAAATGAGACTAGGTCACATTGGGATGTCTGGTTGGCGTGGGGAAGTTGGACCGAAGGGTCTGTTTTCATGCTGTGACTCCCGAGATGTTCATGTCCAAACTGAGAGAGATTTGCAGTGAGAAAGTAAAGCGACTATAAGACCTTCAATGGTTTGGTACCTGGGTACCATGGAAGGGGCTGAGGTGGGTGGTTCGTCAGT